GCCCTAGAGCCAGATTGTTTGGGTCCAAATCCTGACTCTATGCCTACAGGCCATCATAGGCAAGTGACATAGTCTCCTGTATTCTTTTCTTGTGGTCACTGTAACAAATTAGCATCAGCTTAGTAGCTTAAAACAATAGGAATGTATTCTCCTACAGCAGTGGAGGTCCGAAATTGAAAGTGAGTCCTAAGGGGCCAAAATTAAGGTGTGAGCAGGCCAGCGCTTCCTCCGGAGACTCTAGGGAGCAGGGTCGCCTTGGCTTTTCCAGTAGTTAGAGCGGCACTCCCAGCATCCCTCTGTTCTTGGCAACCTCCTCCACCTTCAAAACCAGCAGCAAAGCTGACCCTGCTTTCCTCCCCCTGTCTGTAGTCAAACGCCCCCCTGCCTTCCTCCCTAAGGACACTTATGATTACATGGAGGGCCCACGTGGATCGTCAGGATACTGTCCCCATCTTGAGATCCTTGACTTAATCACACTTGCAAAGACCCTTTTTCTACATATGGTACCACTCAGAGTTTCCAGGGCTTGGGACCTGGAGCTCTTTGGGGGCCAGTTTTCAGCCGACCATGCCTCTCTAAGCCTCAGTTCCCACCACTGTAAAATAGGATACTGTGAGGATGCACTGATGTATCCAGAGAAAGCGCTCAGAACAACGCCGGGCTTAGCACGAGGACTCAATAAAAGGGAGGCGGGGAGCCTCATTTAAAGTTTCCCCTTTGAAAAAAGAATTTTTTTTAATAAAAAATAAAATAAAGGGGCAGCTGGGTGGCTCAGACGTTAAGCGTCTGCCTTCGGCTCGGGTCATGATCCCGGGCTCGAGCCCCGCATTGGACTCCCCGCTCGGCAGGAAGCCTGCTTCTCCCTCTCCCGCTCCCCCTGCTTGTGTTCCCTCTCTCGCTGTGTCTCTCTGTGTCAAATAAATAAATAAAATCTTTAAAAGTAAATAAATAAATAAATAAATAATAAAATAAATAAAAATAAACGTTTCCGGGCGCCTGGGTG